ACATTTGGACTTGGTCAAGACTATTGGAGACAAGTGAGAGGAAGAAAGGCAGAGAGGCACAAAACATACTTGATCAGAGTTGTTTGAATTGCAATTTTGTGTTTTATCAAAATTTCAAATTCTGAAATCATACAAGCTAAGACAAGAGAGTAGAATCTCTGAGAAGATACTCATATTTCTCTATGTCAGGAAGATAATAATAGCACCTTTTGATGGGACAAAATAGCCTGTGGGTCCTGTAAAGCACAATGGCAATGATCTGACATATCAGCAAGCACTGATGAGGTTGCAGTGGGGCCAGATGAAGCTGTGTGCCAGTGAATGTTAAGGGAGGTGGCAGAGAGTGAGAAAACTTATCAGAGGCTTGTGGTATCAAAGATCTTTGCATAGCTTAAAAAATGTAAGTGATTTTTGCACAAATAATGAAAACACATACCAAATGAGACCATAAGCAGTCCTTTGCTAGGGGGTGGATGTCTACAAGAGCTGACCATTAAGTTGAATCAAACATCATGCATGGAGAGAGACAGAGAGAAGAAAAGAAATACAGATATTAGCAGTGAGGAGAATGGGAAAAGATGAGACTATGACAATTACAAAGATGAACATTCACAAGAAGAAAAACATATGTATGTGCTCATATATAAATACCATTGAAATTGATGCTTTTACTACACCCTCTTTCTATCCCTATGGCTACTGCCCCTGGTCGCCAAAACCATGCTGAACAATAAGAGTTTTTCTGCAATTTTCTGGCCAATGTCTCTGTTATGAAGATGTTGCTGGAGATGAGTGAGATTTCCAATGCGGTCTTGTTCTGAACACCTTCTACCTTTCAACATCAGCTCAAAGTGTACAACTGTATGATTGACTTTCATGAGGACACTGCTATGTGGCATCTTTATCAAGATTGCATTTTTGATTTGGACCATATAATAGATATGTGCTTCTCTTTCTTATTAGATGTATATTGACATGATTTTCAGATTAGATGATGATGTTTTTCACCAGTTGCATTATAGCATCACACTCTAGCAGCTACAAGAAAGGTGTTAGAATGAGTAGTATTTCTTTGTGCACCCTTTGCAATGATGTTCTTGGTCTAGTGAGTCTACCCTCTCCTTACTTTCATCATTGCTAACATAAACCACAGATTATAAACTTCTGTAAAGATGCAACCTAAGAGCTGACAAGCACCTGAACAGATCACTTAGAACAAGTGAGCTTTTGTGTTTTGTTTTGGAGATTTTAGCTAACAGGATACAAAGCATTGTAAATATCTGATAGAAACATATGATCTCCCTAAGAGTGGATGCCCTAAACAATACTGGGATCCTGCTAAACTGTGCATACTAATAGAGAAATCATTTCATATACTGGCTAGTCCTCAATCAGAAATAACAATAAATCAGGTATGAATCTCTATTATACTTATCAACTTGTCTGATATAATTTAGATTCTTTGACATATTTTTCTCTAGACACTGATGCTGATGACTGGCTGTCATCCAGGATCCTTCTGCAGGAATAGTCATTATAAGAATAAACAGTTAAAGTTTTCTGTGAGTATTAATATTATCACATATGATATAATCTGACACTAATCAGGGCTTTGTATTATGTTGAACACCATATAATGCATCAACTTGACAAAAAATGTCAAATAAAAACCTGCTACATGCATTCAATAGTCCAGATACAATGTAGGCACTGTGCCATGAGTAATTGGTGAGAAACTTAGATAGTCATAAGGAAAGAAGCTAGAGTTGGATATATATAATCTTAGCCAAAGCTGGGGCTTAAGGTCACAGCTGAGGCTGCTTAAATACATGTTTGAGTATACTAATAATAGAACTACAATACAAGGGTGTTAGATAGGCACTGAAGATAAGATGAGATAAAAGGAAAAGCATAATAAACTGCAACATGGAGTCTTTGATTTATTGGTTACTCCTGTGATCTGAGTGGCAAGTGATACTGTTATTTCTGTGGCTCAAAACTGAAAACAGCTACAGGGGTTCTGGAAGGTGTGGTGCTATACTGCTTCTAGAGAGGACTTGCAGCTTTGCTACATATTCTCTTTGGAAGTGAAATGGCCAAAGGTATGCTTCATCATCAGGTTAATTCAGATACTCTGAGTAAGTGTTATTCCAATGCAGTGCAAACTCTTGATTTAGTTGGGGCTGTCATGGAAGGAGTGACTGAGCAGGCTTGAGAAACCACCTATACAAATGCTCCAGCATTGCACAGAAGGTATGCCTTGATTCTCTCTATTATATTCATAGTCTAATGTTTTGCCAGTAAAAACACTAAATATATGAAGTGTCTGTCATTGGAAGATACTGTCAAGTCCCATCCTCATCTTTAATCACTTTATACAGTCTAGAAGTTTCTAGTGAAGCATATTAAAGCCTCATCTGTAGACTGGACTCTTATCTTGGCAAGTAAAACTTATTATAGGGTATTATGCAGCATCTAACATTTTATATTAGCCAACTCTGGTTGGTACTTGGAAAAAGAATGAGGAGATGCATTTCATTAAAGATGTTTGCCTGAGCATGATTGTGGACCATTTGACAGTCACTGATACTGATATCAAGGATGATTTCACTGCTGATGTCCCTGAAGATCACAATGAACACATATGCATTTGTGGAGATGTATACAAGCATGTTCAAGGGCAATACACTCAGCTACTTTGTTCTGTTTGTGGTGACCACTACCAGCAAAGGATTTCAGCAACTTATACAGAAGATCTCAAAGGCAAGAGTCTTATGACATATGAATCTCACCAAGAAGAGACTAACAAGCCTATTAGTCTTCCCTCCATTTTTGTCACTATGCTTCAGGAGGAGTCAAAACAAGAAAGTGAGATTGCAAGAGAGAGAGAAGAGGCAGCAGCAAAAGAGTTGGCAGAGAAGATGGATCTGAAATGTGATCCCAACAGCATTGTGAAGGTGTCTTCTGGAGAGATGACATTAGAGTAATCAGCTAGAAGACTGAGCATTCTCAGGTGAGTTACAAATTTTTCTATTTTACACTTTTATTGATTTCTTTTGAAAATTGTGGGTCAATCATGAGGCAGAAAACCATAGAAGACAATAATGTCCTATTTGTATTAGTGATACTTCCTTGGAAGATTCATTGCACTTCCAGTTCTACAAAAGTACTGCTAGGTATCAAGAACATTATGATGTAAATCATCATCAGGACAAGAGGGTCTCACAGTGCTGCTTTTCAGAATAGAAGGAAGAGGGAATATAACAGTGAAATAAACCAGGAGCTAGATCACTTTTTTTTGAATACTTCACTAAAACAAATACTTCTTTATAATTGTCATATGTTGTTAAGAACTTGATATAATTAGATGTTTCAAACATTTGATTGGAAAATATATTAAAGTTGTACTTAAATCCTCTTAAAATACTGGTCCAACTTTACCATCTCTGGAAAGTTAATGTCTACATTCAAACTGTCTTCTCTGGCCTTCTTCATGATCTGGATCCCAAGCTCAGATGACTGAAACTGTCAAGCACCAACTTGGATTGGCAAGGTCGAGCCTTAGTTTGTCACTCGCACTTTGGTGAAGTGAAACAAAGGTAGCGATGCAGACCAAGTTAAGTAGTCAGGACTGAATCAGTCACGGAACTTGGAGTTCAGGTAAAAGTTGGGAGTATATGACTTTAGCCAAAGCTGAGGTTTAACCACAGTGCAGGCTACTACTTAAATACAAGTTTGGTGCATTAATAATAACTGTACTACTATGGTTCCATGATAGAGAACAAGTGCGATATGGCCAATGGCAATATGCCAGTGCAAGAACTACCCAATGGTGAGTGGCCAGCTAGACAAGGAAGACTCTGGGGGAACTGTGCCCTTGTGGCCAAGACTCTGCCTGAGTAAGAATGTCTGAGCTCGTCCACTGTGAATCAGGGATCAAGTGATGCGGAAGCAACTGTTGATTGATCAGAGCAAAGATACCATGATGGAAGTTATTGTGTGATGCAGGAGTATTAGCATGGGTTACGGATGAGCCGGATGGAAGTGATGATGAGAATAAGATGACGATCGAGGAAGAATGACATGAAGCAAATGACTAAAGCAAAAATAGGGGTGAATTTGTGACAAACTCTTAGCACTATTTCTATCTTGTTTTCTCCCTCAATGAAAATGCCTGTGCCTGCCCTTGCATTTGCCATCCCATTGTGAATGCAGGAGCCATCAGTTGCAGCAGTTATCACTTCACCATTTGGAGAGAACATTCTCATGTCTGGTAAGATATTGCATGTTTTGTCTTCTGTGAATATTCAGAACATGTCAGCTAATGTGCCATGGGTTGTGATTCTTTGATCAAATTTGTAGCCTTCTTTAAGAATTTGGGGAGCCTCCTCATAATCTTCCAGGAGCATAAATCTAGGGTCCCACTTCGGAGGCAGAGTGTCCATCAGTTCCTTCACTCATAGGATACATGCGTTTGGGCAGATGCATCTCAGGTTCTCTGACATTGCAGTGCAGATAAAGCACTGACATCTTGGGCCTCGTTTGGAGCATGAGTAGTTAGGGTCATCAATGAGGTAGGAGATTTCTTCTGCTTCCCCTACCAGGTGTAGCTTATGGTTCTCATGAAGGCAGGTACTCGTCGCTGATCGAGTCAGGAGGTGGATTCTAGGGTCCACTTCTGAGTGGAACCAGATAGGTCAGTAATGCAGTATTTTCCTGGAGAAGGCTATGCCTTCTGCTCAAATGCCTATCTTCTTTGCAATATCATATATTCTTTGAATGTCACAAGGTAGCTCAGATCTTTTTGCTCCAAATGATTGAAGGAAGATATTCAGTTTTACTCCAGGGCTGATGTTTTTTTCTGCGTTTAATGCTGCACAGGCAAGAATATCATGCACGAAATAAGCCCAGGTAGGTTGTTCCCTGGCAAGTAGTGATTTGACCCACATTGCTTCTATTGCTTTGTTCCAAGCATGGAGATCAAGTATGTCTAGGCCTCCTTAGCTCCTTGAGGCCTTCAATGTCTCAAAATCAACTAGGTTTTTTGTTTTTCCTTCCCAAATGAACTTCCATATTTGTTTCTTGAGTTTGTCCTTTACATGTTTTGGCATGCCCTGCACCACAGTAAGATATTGGCATGGGCTCCAGTCCTAGAGAAGATTGATAAGAACCTTGACTGCTGGAAATTGTCACATTCTTCAGTCCCCGGTCGCCGAATCATAATTCAGACAGTCATTGGCAGCCTCACCCATATCTTCTAGGATGTTATTTCCAAACCACACACCCAGAATTTGGATGGCCTCTTTTTCTTTAACAATGTGGATGTTTCTCAGTATTTCATTAAAGTTATCCTTTGCTTTCCAGCAGGTGCTTAGCTTCAGACGAAAATCTTTGCTACCAATCGGGATGATTTGGGTTTTCGTAACGTTGAAACAGGCTCCACTAGCAAGGCACCAGGTATCCAGTAGGCACATGAGGTCATTGAAGTCATCATTCTCATCAAGGAAGGTGGTTGTGTTATCTGCAAAAAGGTTGGCGATCAGTCTTTCTTCTGACCCTGAGACTGTCAGACCTTTTAGATCTGAGCATCTTAGCATCTTAGCCAGAGGCTCGATAGTGAGATTCAATAGGAGGCAGGACAGGGGGTCTCCTTGACATACCCCTCAGGTGACTTTGAAAGGTGAGCTGAGGTAGCCATTTACCATGACCCTTGTTTGTGCATATTCATATAAAGACTTCACCATTGCAATGAAAGGGGCTGGAATTTGGAAAGCTTCCAGCACTTTCCATAGATAATCATGACAGATTTTGTCATACGCTTTCTCTTGGTCAAGTGTGACAATCATTCCATTCTTCTGGATGAGGTTAGCATAGTCAAGATCATGCAGATGAGTTTAGTCTGGTTTGTTATCTGTCATCCTGGAATAAATCCAGCCTGGCTTTTATGGATCAATTGTGGGGCTGAGGTGACTAGTTTGATTGATAGGGCCTTTGTGAGTAGTTTATATTCTGAATTTAATAGTGATGGGCCAATAGTTTGACATCTTATTTTAGTTGTTCTTTTTGTATATTGGGCACATCCACCCATCCGTGAAACTGGTCGATTTATCTATACCAAATTCCTCCATATCATTAAAGACTGAGGTCAGTAGACCTACAATATCAAAGGCTGGCAGGTTCTTTCACTTATCTTCCATGTATCTGTTATTGAGAACTTTAAAGAACTTATTGGTTGCATCATTTATCCCTGGGACAGAATCATTCTTAGATATCCATAGGGGTTTTACTATCTGATCATGGTCCAGTTTCTTTATAAGGTTTTCCTTATTCTCTTTTGTAGATGATGCCTTTATTTTGTCAAGGATAGTTTGAATCGTGGTGGCTCTTGTTTCCTTGTCGACATCCAAACCTTCATACTGCAGAGTGTTCCCATGGAAGTCTTTCATCATTTCTGCCATTAGTGGTGAATGTTTTTCATATACTGGCTCAGTTTCTAGCAAAGGAGCTGATTCTAATAGGTTATTGGTGCTCCCATTTAGGCTTTACTGAGTCTGGTTCCTCAGTGGATTGGGAATTTCAAGAGCATGTATAATGTCTCTTGGCTTAGATTCCTTATTCACTTGGAAATAGTATTTCGATACTGTCTCCCCTTCTAAGCGGTTCTTTGCTGTGATGAACCTGCTGAATTTTTATGCCCATCCTGTTTTAGGCTCTTAAGTTCTGACTTAAGTTTGCCCAGTTTATTGGATCTTTCCATGTTGCTCAGTGACTGGTCCTTAGAGGTGGCATCAATGGCTTTGCTGAGGGTTGATTCTTTCAACTGGTTCTGGGCTTTAATTATTTGTTCTCTTTCTTTAGCTTGATTCATTGCCTCTGTGATGAATTTATGATACGTTCTCTAAGGATTCATATCTTGAATTCTACCTGCTCGTCTTATCGTGTCAATTTCCTGTTGAGCGTTCAGTCCAAGTTCCTTGACTTTGATGGACAGTTGACGGTCTTTTAGGACAAAATCAGGGCATGCCCACCTGCCCTTTCCAATGAGCAGAGCTTCCTCATGAGCGATTTGCATGGATACCATCTTGTGGTCTACTCCTATGATACCAACTGGGTGTATTCTCCACTGTCTAGCATGTTCAAAGAGGTTGTCCATCACATAAATTCAGTCAATATATGACTGGTATGTGTTTTGGACTATCTCATTCGTATCTGAGGATTGCACACTCTTTGTGCAGCTAAATAAAAAGTATTTTTTGTCTGGGAATGTGCTTTGCCAGCTGTCTCTTAGACTGAGGAGTTGCTTGCGGTTGTCAAACGCTGTCAAGACATCAGAATGATCGTTATGCATTGGTAAGCAATCAATCGCATTTTCCACAAAGTTCATATTGCCCCTCATGTAATCTGGCCACCAGTTACAGTTGGCATCAAAAAAGTTGTACAAGGTTTCAAAGAATGTTGTGCTGTCTTTAGCATCACCTCATTTCACATTGGGGCCATATATACCCAGTATTGTAATCTCTTTTTCATGATACCATCTTGTCTTCATTAACAGGGCTCTTCCTGGAATAATGACTTTTGTTTTAATGTGGTGCCATAGTGTGAGCTGTTTCTTAACTACTATTGCAACTCCTCCTTTTCTTGTTGGATTTTCAGGATCTGCTGTAAAGTGGATTTTCATCCTACACATGAAGAGATTCTCCAGTTCATCCCTTCTACATTCTGTCAAGTGAGCTTCCGAAACAATCAAAATGCCAGTTCTTGACATCCTAAGGAGTTAGTTTATATGGCTCCATTTACTATTTTGGATGCTTTCACCAGACCCCAAGCAGCCAAACCCATTGATGTTTAGCAAGAGATCATGATGCCTGCTTTGGTTTCCTTTTTGTGATTCGCTCTTCTCTCTTGTCTGTTGTTTGGGAATGTGTTATGGGGGGGGTACTCTCCTGGGAGTTGCTTAACTGTGGTGGCTGCATAGGCATGTTGCTTGTAGCATTTGTAAACCCATTCATTTGAGAGTATGGCTCTCTCACTACTTGGTTCATGGCATGGCCACTCTCGCTGTTTGGGGTCTCATCTATGGGAGGACTTGAGTCATGTGAGTTTGCTGAGAAGCTCAGCTGGTGTCTTCGACATATATGTCATTGACTCTTACCAATGCAGACTTGCATGGTTTCTCTTGTGCCTGCACATAATGAGGTTTGAGAGGCAGCTGGCATATTCCTATCACTGTCTGGAGGACCATGCAACATTAGGTCAACCACACTATTCTCCAGGAATTCTGATGCTGGTTCCCCACTGTCGCTACTTGCACTACCATCTTGCATAGAGGGATAACCAGTGGGTATGTCAGAGCCTCGACTGGGTAGAGTGAGACCGATACCATAACCACTCACAATATTGTTTGCTGTAATCCTATTATCCAAACTGTTAATAGCACTGTTAGTTCACATATGGGATGGCCAAACCACTTGTATGCTAGATGAATCTGCTTGAACATATCTCCCCTAGTGAGAGGGAAGGCATAACAAGCAGTGTAGACTCCATTAGGTCCTGTTTAGAGACAGTTGTATCACCCCTCCCCATTCAGCAGTCCAACTTGCCTCCACTAAGCTGTCAGTAATCAGAACAGGAAGATGCTTTGATGAATGTTAGATGGCTTTAACAGACTTTTCATCTTTTCCAGTCTCACCCCTGGTTCTGCTTTTCTGAGCTTGAGGCTCACCGAGATCAAACAAGTGGAGGTAAAGTATCTCTATTGAAAGCAAAAGGTTACATTAAGTGGCATTTAAATGGTAAGCAGACTACTGCTTTTTACCATGCCCGACTACTTTTCAACCATCATTGTAGTTCCTTCCATGTTTGGAATGACCACCTGACTTCTCATTACCCTCCTTTCATTTCTGGCCTGGGTCTTTGGGGGTTTCTGATTTCATCATTCAGAGTCAGAGTTCCTTGGTGGTGGGGCCATACTATGCTGAGTCGACCTCTGGGAAGAGGCAAGCATGGCTTGGATGGCTTTGATTCTTGCACCAGTTGCAGCCAATAATCTTGTCCACATTCAAAAGCTGTTGATAGTTTACATGAACTTTGAGTTGTCGGATGTAGGCTGTGAGCACCCAATGAAGATCAAGGTCATCAGTGATAGGTTCACCCATGAGCATAAGCACTGGTCCCTTATCATTATCGAGATTCTTCGTCTCGATGTAGAGGAGACGTCAGAACTGAGTCATCCTGATGGTGAGCTTGACTGGGTTTCTGAAATTCCCCTGTGATTGGGTGATGCATTTGACGAGGTTTTGCAGGGGAATATCATGCCATGCTGCCAGTTTAAGACAGGCCAGGGCTTCAGCTATGAGGAAGGCATTGTTGCAGACAATGTTTCCTTGGAAAGCCACAATAACCCAGGCAAGAGCTTTGGGATTGAAGGGGATGAAGTTCCAAACTATACAAGAGGGGATGGCAAAACTTTGGTGCCACAGCAAGTATCTGATGAAATCTTCGGAAATGCCTGTGATGATGAGCGGCCATGGTTTGTCGAAGGTGCTCTTCCTGTTGTGGCCTTCATCTTTCTTCCTTGCTTTCTTTTCTTCTTTTGATTCTACCAGGTAGAAAGCCATGATAGTGCCTTTGTCTGGGAAGTTGAAACCTTCGAGGAATTCTGTGAGGAGAATGTCGGCACACAGGTTTTCAGAGTAGAATTTGGGTCCAGTGCCATAGGGGATTGTGTCAACAACCAACTATACTCGACTTAGATCAACTAAGGATCGCCACTTGCACTTCGGTGGGCGATGCTCTTAGAGGTCAAAGGAGAGGTATGAAGTCGATCGAGGACTTAGATAGTCTCAAAACGCGGAGCTATGAGTTAGGTAGATTAGATCTTAGCCGAAGCTGGGGTTTAGACCAGCTGAGGCTCTACTTAAATACACTTTGGATACACTAATAATAGTACATGAGAAACTGTCCGTAGTGATCGCATATGAGTAATCGAGCTGAGTAAAATGAAGAAAAATGAATAAACCATAACATTACCCCCTCTCTAAGACTCGTTCGTCCCAAATGAGTCCTCAGATTCCCACTCATCGCTGTCTGAAGAGGAATGTTTGGATTCAGAGTAGAACAATGGAATATCATCGTCCTCATCTTCGTCGTCTGCATTCCAGTTTTCATGAATTCATTGGAGGTTTTGGAGGTTTACCTCTTCCTCGGTGTCCTCTTCCTCTATCACCAGTTCTCCGTCAGCTTCATCTGTGGTGACAATGGGCCATTTGTTCCATAAGAAGTCAGGTTCTAGTTCAGGGTTAAATGCTGGGTGCCAATTTTGGGCTACCAAGTCAATTAATTGCAAAGAAGGGGAAGAGGGATAAGAGTCTTGTTGGGTTTCGCTGTTGTACGATAGCCCCTCGTCAGCCCTTTCGATCTTTCCTTTTATTTGCTGGACTTTCACCTCGTATTCGTTGACTAGGGCTTCTGCGTTTGCCATATTTGAGCGTTTGACCCACGAGTTTTCTTCCATTGGGTACCCTTTCCATTTGACCAGGTATTCAGTTATTGTGCGATGGGTACGTCCGCGACCAATGACCTTGTCTCTTTGTTCCACAATTTCCTCAATTTCATATTCTTCTTCATTGTCAATCAATTCTGGTGGTGGTCTTTCAGGATGTGGTTGATTGGGAAACTTGGGAGCATGGTAGGGGGTCAAGAGGGACTCATTGAACCGGTTATGAATCTTCCAACCTATTGGGAGTTTGAGTTCATAAGCGGAGGCCCCCTTTTTGGCTACGACGGTGAAAGGTCCTACACGTCGATCTCCAAGTTTCTTGGTGGGTCGAGGAAGGTTTAGGTTGGTAGAATCCAACCATACCTTGTCACCGACTTGGTATTCCACTGCTTGGTCCTTATGCCTGTCGTAGGCCCTTTTCATGGATTTGGCCGTTCGTTCCAATGATTCTTTTGCCTTCTCCTGTACTTCTTGAATACCCTGAACCAACTTTGATGCGGCTGGGATGACATCGGGACATTGGGTGGTTTTAATGACTTGTCCATCCCTCCCAAAGACTACCTTATACGGGGAGAAGCCCGTCGCCGAATGTGTTCGATTGTTGTGAGTGAATGCAGCTAGCGGTAACCACTTGCTCCAGTCATCCTGTCGGTAGTTTACGAACATCTTGAGGTACTTCTCGATCTCTTGGTTAACTTGCTCGGTCTGCCCATCCGTCTGGGGATGATACGCAGTGGAGGGGTTACCTGCGACCTGTATAAGAGCATAGAACTCCTTCATAAACTTGGACATGAAAATTGCTCCCCTATCCAAAATATTTTCTGGCATTACGCCATACGGTACATAGACGTGATCTTGCAGGATTTTAGCGAAAGCGAGGGAGGTAAGTTCCTCTGTGCATGCGATTGGGATGATCGTTTTAGAAAATCTGTCGACTATGACCAGAATGGAATCGAACCCCTTCGAATTGGGAAGTTTGGTGATCATGTCGACTGAGATATGGGTCCATGGTTTTGTCGGCACCTCATTTGGATGGAGGGGGGGCTTTCTTCGGATGGCGGTCCGCCTTAGTTTGTTGACAGACTTCACACCCTTTGACGTATGCTTCCACCTCCCGGTGCATTCGAGGCCACCAATAATCCCTAAGGATGAGTTCTTTGGTTTTCTCTATCCCAGGATGTCCAGCTGTCACGTGGTCATGTTGTAACGCTATGACCTCCCCTCATAGTCGTCGGTCCAGAGGAACATAAATGCGGCTGTCATACCAAAGCATTTCTTGGTCTCGGGAAACTCCCTTTTCATGGTTGAGGGAATCCAAAATACCTCGATCCCATTTACGGGGGTCGTGGGTGGCTAACTTGATCCTCTTGTGTAACTCTTCTTCTGTGGGCATGATCAGGGCCCAGAAATGTTCAGCTTTTAGGATGACTACATCCTTGTTATCCCCCTTGCCCTGGTCGTGGTCGGCTCACCTGGATAGTAGATCCGCCTTGTGATTCTGTGCTCCAGGTTTATGATGAAGCGTAAATTGGTACTCCGCCAGTTCAGTCACCCATTGCGCTTGTCTATGGTTTAACTTTTGTGGTTTGCGGAAGTACTGCAGGTTGGAATGATCGGTCCATATTTTGAAGTCCTCTCGAGCTCCCAAGAGGTATTGGTGCCATTCTTCCAACGCAATCATGATGGCGAGTAATTCCTTGTCATAAATTTCATAGTTGCGCTCGGTAACGGATAGGGCTTTGGAGATAAAAGCCACCGGTCGCCACTTTCCGTCCTGCCACTGAGATAGTATGGCCCCGATGGCTCCCTCACTGGAATCCGCTTCCACTCGGAATTTCCCTTCATCTAGCGGTATGGCCAGCACCACATCTTCGCGAAACAATTCTTTGAGCTTTTCAAACACCTTTTGTTGGGCCTCTCCCCATTTCCATTCGACCTTCCCTGTAAGCGAAGTCAAGGGTTTAATGTGCTTACTATAGTCACATATGAACCTCCGATAGAAATTGCAAAATCCAAGGAAGGACTGCAACTCTTGTTTCTTCCGAGGAACAGGCCAGTCCAATAGTCTGGCGATCTTTACTGGGTCCATTCGGATCCTCCCCTCACTGATGATTACCCCTAGGTACTCCATCTCCTCAACCTCGAACTCGCATTTTTCGGCTTTGAGAAAAAGGTTATTCTCCCGAAGCCTCTCCAGTACTTTTCATACAATGTGCTTGTGCTCTGCTTTAGTCTTGGAGGCAATTAGGATATCGTCCAAGTAGATGGATACCTCTCCCGTGGTGATGAGATCTTTAAAAATGTCATTCATCATCCACTGGAAGGTAGCGGGGGAGTTCGTGAGTCCGAAGAACATTACTAACGGCTCGTACAGCCTGCAATTGGTACGGAACGCTGCCTTCCATTCGTCGCCTTGCTTGATCCTGACATTATTGTAGCCCCACCTCACATCCAACTTGGTGAAGTACTTGGCTTTCTTCAGCCTGTCCATTAACTCTCCAATGAGCGGTAGAGGGTATCGATTCTTGATAGTCATCTCGTTCAATTTTCGGTAGTCCTGTACCGGGTGAAGCTTTCCGTCCTTTTTCTTGACAAAGAAGAAAGGCGATGCCATCGGGGATTTCGAAGCCTGGATGCGACCGGTGGATAGGTTTTCGTCGAGGAATTTATCCAGTTCTTCTTGCTCCGCTGGATTGAGAGGGTAGACCTTGCAGTCTAGGTTGGCGTTGGCATTGGGGATCAGCTCAATGGCGTGATCCCAGGGTTTACGCAGGGGGAGTTCATCGAAGCTTTCCTTATCGAAGACGTCTTTAAAATCTCGATACTCCTCTGGCACAATCTCCTCGAAAGATTTGGTAGCTTTCTTCGCATGAGCCTGGGTGGCTAACTCATTGGCTTTAGTTCCCATGGCCCGTACGTGAAAGGCCTGTTCAAAATCTACTACCAAGATGGTATCCCCTTCTTCGTATTCATCCCAACGCGCTGACGGATCCGTGTCAGGTAAGTGAAACGGGATTTTGCGACAGGTACAGCGGGCCAAGGTTACGGCTCCTGTATCCCAGTCGATAAGCGGATTATGCCTCTGTAGCCAGTCATGCCCCAGGAAAAGAGGCATGGTACCCAAGTCCACCATGGCTAACTCGATCCTTTCCACGTGGTCCCCGATTCATAATCGCACTTCGGCATACTCGGTGATGTCGCCCCCCTTGTTTCTTGTGCTGTTGGCATTATAGACCGGAATGGGACGGGCCACCTTTTTAAGGTTAATCCCGTGTTCTTGGACCCAGGTGCGGTCAATAGAACTTCCCATAGCCCTGCTGTCTACAAGCGCCTTAAGGGTGAACATATCTCGGGTGTCCAAAGTCTCCAATTGTACGTTAATGGATACATTGTGCCCCTTTCTCCCTCGTATATACATGGTGGCTTCTTTAGATCCTCCATCCACTCCCATCTGTCCCTGGCCTCCTTCGCCGTCTCTGCCTGTTCTTTGAGCGAATCCCACAGCTCGATCGTTACTTCCCCAAGCCTACGAGGGTGCACCCACTGCTTTAAGGCAGAGAATGCGGCTGATTCATCTTTAGCGAGTCGCAATGCTCGGCGAGTCCAGTGCATCCCAAAAGGTTCATAATACATATCGAGAATGGCCTTTTTGGCTTCTGGTGCTAGCTCGGGCTCGGGGGTCACAGAAGACTTCCCCTTGGGTGGTGTGATCGGGATGTCGGACCGCAGATAGGCTTCCTCGTCTTCGACTTCTTCTAGCGAAACCAGGGTTTTCTTGTCTCGAGGTGGCAATTGG